ACTATACCCAAAACATTCTCATTGCTTCCAACACACAACGGAGGCGTCCAACCTCTTCCATCTAGTCATGAGCGACAGCTAGCAGGAGGAATACAAAAAGTGAGTTGTTTTCTATTGCACCTCAAAATAGTTGCACAGAGGCCAAAAATAATGTAAAAATCTGTTTCTCACTGACCGTGACCTCCAAAATTATTTAATCTCCCTGTCGTAGCAAAACTATATTTAGACGCATCCGCAGGGACAGTGAAAGCACGCAACTAACTGGAGCCCAACTGAAGGCAGTATTTGGTCCAAGACCAGCACACACGAACATACCACATCATATGGAAAAGAGGGTCCTCGATGACATAGCAGAAATCTGGGAAAGCAGACAAGATTCAAAACAGAGTGACAGAGTAATATTAGGCCCAAACTTTGCAGAGGTAAAATTTTAAAAAGCAAAATCTTGTCTATATTGCAACAACTACTCTTTTTATATTGTTACACAGCTTTTTTCTAACAGTTTTTTTCATCATAATTATTGTTTGCAGCATATATTGGATTTAAAGCATCACAAAACTAGTATTAAAAAATTTAAGACTGAATTGCTAAAAATAAAGAATCAGCTGGTTCCCATGTATCTCAAGAAAAATCAACAGAAAAAGCTCTCAACAGCAAACATGGTAACAACCCTTTCCTCCCTGACAAAATCTCAAAATATGCATTCTATTAAATTACTTTATATTAAACTGTCATCTAAGCAATAAGTATTTTGTATGCAGATATTCATTCCAATGGAGAAGCATGACCGCTATGTACTATATGTGCTGGACAAATACAAAAACAGAGTTCACATTATTGATCCTCGAGAAACGACTCCAGACGAATTTGAGAAAGAAAATATAGACGTAGATGAATTGGAGGAAAATGAAGCAAATCGAGTTCTTCAGGAAAATGAAGATGCTGCAGAAGAAAGAGAAAGACAATTTGAGGAATATCATGTTCATAAGTTGGCAATCGTAAGCATTTATACATAACAATTTTTTTCAGTTTTACAAGTTGCAATATAAAAACAATTAATTACAAAATGCAATATTCCCAGGTACCTAGGTTTAAAGAAGTCTTCAACACCATACTAGGACAAACAATGACTCCCATGCGTACAAGATGGAAGATTCATACCGTACAAGATGTTCCAGTGGTAGAAAAGGGAGAATCAACATTTGCTGTTTTAAAACTTGCATTCATCTACAATGGTGAAAAGTTTGTCCAAGACCTAGAAGATTTGACAGTAAGTTTATATAGATTCACTTATAAACAACTTATATGCACAAACTCTAATAATATACTTCTCTTCTTGGCAAAATTTCACAGGATGAGGTCGAAGATTGGAGGGCAGAGGCAATGTACATTCTCTTAAGTAGCGAGATGAATCAAGTCAAAGCTAGTGAAATGGATGACGAGATTAGCAAGATCTTGAGCAAAAATGAAGACTAAAACTTTTTGATTTAGCCCGTGAGGCTAATTCTATCTAGACATGACAAAAAAATTGTCAATAACTCACATTTCTATGTAATGTAGTTAGAAATTGCGTGTTCATGTTGAAAAGAGAAGTATTTCGACAACAATGCCTCTTACATCACCAGAGAATGCCAGTAAACTATAAACAACAATGCCTCTTCTTATTTATACGACAACACTGACTCCCAAAACGAACCATTACGCATGACTCTGGGGACCACCCTCCCGTGCATCCAGAGGTGACAAGGCCTTTGTGCCACCAGACTCCGGGTCACCATGCACCCGGGCAATGTCCACACACACACATACCATTACGCGTGACTCTGAAAACCACCCTCCAGTACCTCCAGAGCTGGAGACCACCCTCCTGTGGCTCCAGAGAAGACAATGCCTTTGTGCCACCAAACCCTGGGTCACCATGCCTCCGGGCAATATCCACACACACACATACCATTACGCGTGACTCTGAAAATCACCCTCCCGTGCCTCCAGAGCTGGAGACCACCCTCCAATGGCTCCAGAGATGAAATGGCCTTTGTGCCACCAAACCCTGGGTCACCATGCCTCCGGGCAATATACACACACACTCATAGCCATACGTGTGACTCTGGAGACCACCCTCCCGTGGCTCTAGAGATGAAATGGCCTTTGTGCCACCAAACCCTGGTCACCATGCCTCTGGGCAATATCCACACACAAACATACCAAGAACACCTCAACCGTAGCTAGCTCCTACACACACGTGACTTCACATGCTTCAAACCCATGCCTCCGCAGGCAACATACCAATGCCTTCGTAGTATACACACATGTGAATGCACGCACAAACCTAGCTCGTAAACAGACGTGACTGCAATTACTTCAAACCCGTGCCTTCAGCACAACGTTCAGCACAAACTTCAGCACATGCTTCAAACACATGATTCAAACCCGTGCCTTCACCACAACCTGCTATATAAAAATTAAACAAGCAGGTTCCCTTGCGCCGGAGGCGCCGTGCCACACTTCGACCTACACACACTTCGACCTATGCCCCCCTTCAAGATGTTTATGAAAATTAAATGAGCCGAAGGCGAGCCGAAGGTTCCCTCGTGCCGGAGGCGCCGTGTCACACGCCGCACGACCAACGCGCCGCACGACCAACACACACTTCGATATATGCCCCCCTTCAAGATGTTTATGAAAATTAAATGAGCCGAACGCGAGCCGGAGGTTCCCTTGCGCCGGAGGCGC